TCGAAAGTATCACGGCGCCTAGCAGGAGTAAATTAGCTTAGAGTAGTCTAGTACACTTCTTAGTCGGTCAAGTGGCAGAAATGAAAGCCTAGTAGCCCGAAGTAAGTGGATAAAAAGAGAATGAAAACAAAAGAACTTAAAAGACCAGCAGAGCATGGCAAAGTCTGTTCTAACTGGAAAGCACGTGGCATTACCGCTGCGAATGAAATAAGTGGAACAATCAGCAGGAATAAAAGGATAGGAAGCGCTGACAAGAAGAGAAAATTGAGGCGAAAGGAACGAGACATAGTACTGCTATCTATAAACAGGGTGGAAAAAAATCAGTTGGGGCCGGTCACCCAAGTGTTAGAGTAAGAAAGCGAAGGATGACCACCACCGCCCATGATGCCAGTAAGTGAGCTTGGGATAGGAGCATGCCCAGCGCGAATAGGTTTGGCTATTTGTGAATGCCCCCGACGCGAAACATTGCGCTGCCGAACAGCTTCCTTGATGCGTTCTACCTCGTGTTGGTAGCGCTTACGATCACGCATGGCGCCTTCTTTTGCCTCCTTTAAGGAAGTTTCGAGGGTACGTACGCGCTCCACGGTTAGCTACAATGAGTGAAACACAAATTAACAAATGTTGAATAAAATAAAAAATTATGTTAGATTTAATCAAGGGTTTACAAAGATTATTATAGGTATGAAGCCAAAGAAGTCAAGTTCCGAAGTATGATTTTGCACTAATATAGCCAGTATGTTAATTTGAATAATAAAAACAGTACACAGATGGCCAAAATCAATGTAGGAAATACAAGCTTGTCCCGATTCATAATTATTTCTAGTAGAGGCAATGCAAGAGCCTGCACTTCTATAATATAGCCTCGATACCGTTTCAATTTAAGGTATTCTAAAGTGCCATATCAATAAAATTTGATATAAATATCCTCTAAGCCAAGTCGTAACCATTTCGAAAGTTAATTAGTAAATCAGATATAAGAAATACTAATATAAAGAGCCAGAATCCTAGAAGATAAAATATGTGCAATCTAATGATAAGTTTTAATGACAAACCACGGCGAACTATTCAGCAAATTCAGTGCACCCCAATATTTATCTACAATAGTATAGACCATTTGAACAGAACGAAAGTTGACAAATATAAACAACTGATGAGTTTAATGAAAATAACATGTTGAAATGTTATTGTAGCTGAAAGTAAGAAAAATTATAAAAACGGATAAAGAGGAAGGAACATTTTTTTCCAACAAAACACGTCTATAACATGATTTCCGAACAAGTCACTGCCACGAAGAATAAGAGTCGACGTAGAAATTATGCTTAGATCAATAGATAAAAATATTGTATGCTTAGTCAACATGCTAGATGACTTAAAAAGACACAATCATGCAGAATTTCAGTAAGTATAGGGCAATATGTCTTTAACTCATGTGATCAAAATACATAACATAATCGCCAAAAGTTTACATGAAATTAGAGGGACGAAGATACAGATAAGAATGCAAGTACAGATAATGGAAAAAGTTATGCTTAGATGAGTTGTTAAATTAGTGCCAAAGATATGATACGAACGAGAATTATCCCAGTCAACAAATGGGCGAGATAGAAGACATTTTTGTGGGACTCCAAAAAGATTGCATGTAAGATGTACCAGCCTTTATTACAATAGGAGCAATGAGTGGGGCAAAAAAATAGGTTTTGGTTCTGGAGAGCAAACAGTCATCTAACCTGAACAAGCACCTAATAAAAAATTGCATTCACTGATAAGGAATTCAAGCACAACTTTTTTTAATCCTTAAAACGTTTAAACGTAATTTAGCATTTGACCAAGAAATGAACAGATATTTTGCACGTTAATGATCTTTTAAAAAAGGGTAATGATTATAAGTATAGAAGACATACAGCCAGTACTTGATAAAAAACAAAAACATATGTGAAATTGAGCTATTTAACCCGTCTGCAGAAAAGGGGTTGTCTGTAGCTCACACAAGTGGTAGAGCTAGAAATCGAGATTAGTCGGTTCAATGGGAAAATATTCGCTTAAAAAGAATAAGGTAATATCAACTTGAGTGTACGAAGGAAGACGAATTGCTACTTCTTATTTACGCTTATGTGAAATAAGTGATTGTCTGAGTTGTAGCCACCAGGGATTAAATTGTATAAGATGCAACCAAAATATCACTTTAATAGCTTAACGAATTCTAGATAAAGCACGCGGCTACCTACTGATAGTAATTTGCACACAAAGTAAATGGGTTGGGAAAAGCGAATCTTATGTGCAAAACAACATTTGCCATGCAATCTATTGGTAGCGGCCTAAGAAGCCGTTAAATCAACACATCCAAAGCTCTAATTCCGTTGAATTTCTGATGATAGCTGAGAAAGGTCAAAAACGCAGTTCCATTTTAATAAGAATGCCAATAATGTTTCAAAACAACCGTTTATTGTGTACCCTAAGTGCCTTATAGGCTATATAAAATATTGTGTAACCTATATATAAGCTAAATTGTCTTAAGTTAAAATAACAAAGAAAAAAATAATGACCTTGAGGCGCTTCTCTAGCTTAGGAAGCTCAATTCGAAGCTCGGCGTTGTCGTGGACAAGTTGCTTGTGGACTCGTGTCAGTTTCTCCAAGTTGTTCTCTAAAAATACAATCTTTTCTCGTTGAACAAGGCTCCCAGCTTGTCCAACCTCCTCGGCGTCGTCATCTTCCAAAAGCAGATGCTGTATCCCAGCCGATGGTAGGCCGGTGCCCATTGATACAAGGGCAGCATCAGAATTGTTGGTCATTGGTTGTTGTTGTTGCTGCTGTAGTTGTTGTCTCTCTTGCTGCTCACGTTGGGCTTGGGCAGCCATACGAGAAGCTGACTGTTATAGGCAAGCATAATGTAAAGCCGAATGGAAAATAAATATGCAAAAACAAAAAAGCAAATAGCAAAGCCGTAAACATATAAATAATGATATATTTACAAGAAAAATAATTATAGAAACGCTAAAATAAGTTATTTAAATAGATCTTTACTTCATATTTCAGGTAATAAAGGGTATTCTAAATATGTTATCTAGGAGAAATGCATGGCGGAACCAGTAAAAATAGCGATTCGTAGTAAAAGTTCAAGTGGGCGGATTTAATATTAATTTTACTATTGATACTACTACTAAAAATAATAAAGAAATCAAATTAAAAAGCTTAGAAAGCCCTAAAATATCGCAATGGACATTGTGGTCAGAGACGTAAGGGCTTCGTAAATATG